ATTTTTCTTGGTTACATATACAAAAATCGCGGTCTACTGAAACTTAAAACCGAGATCTTACCTTGATTCTTTAACCTCTTAAAACGTTGTTTACAAATTTTCTCCTCGTTTTTTCCCTCAAATTGAAATATCTTTTTACTTCCGATGCGTTTAATATCGCAAGTATCTCCTGAAGAGTTGATTATTTCCTGGGCCGAAGTTTCGAATATCTCCCTGTGGAGATGTGATTCAGGAATAAATCATTGTCATATTTTGTCAGCTCCGACCAGATTGTAACCTTGGAATAAGGCAGCTGTCATTTCATCCAATCTGAGTTTCATTAAGGTAACTTTTTTCGAATGATATCGCTGTTAGAATTGCAGTGGAATCAGCTGTTTCTTGATAGTGAACTTATTATATCTGAGGACTGCTTAAAGTGCCTATGAAGTAAAAATTTTTTTTGCCCTGTTTGTTTGCTTATGTCTTGATGAACACAGCTAAGCGATTTTGACCGACCAAAAGAACTTTCTTGTATTATTTTTTGAACCTCAAAGTTTGGATTTTGCAATCTGAAATGGGTCCATTTTGCGCGCGGTCAAATCTCATCTTACAAAGGAAGAGACGTAGTTGGTGGTTCTGAAAACGACAAACAAAAGCTTAAGCAAAGCGCCAGAACCACCAACTATGTCATCAGAGCCAAACTCGTTCCCAGTTTCCGGAGACACCGATAATGTCTAATTTAGGGACTTCGAACCACCAAAAAGCCGATTTAAATTTCTTTTCTTGAAATTTCTTTTGTCATTCCTTAATAAGGACATAATAAGCTACAAAATTATGCAAAAAAATTTTTACTTCATAGGCACTTTAAGGGATGGGAAGGGTAGTGTCCTCATTGAAAACAAATTATTGAATAACCAGATGTTATAAGTTCAAATATGTTTTATTTTGGAGAAGACACATGAGGAAATAAGGAATAGTAGCCTATAATTATTACTGAGTGGGAGATTTGGACAGCCGATCAATTAACTCATTCTCCAGCCCTTAACCACTTTACACCCTAACATCAGTATGCATATTCTCCATACTGTTCTCTACACATTTCCTAAGGAGCTAACAAGGAGAATTTGTCTAACAATCAAGAGCTTCGCAATTTTGTGATCATTTCTTTTATTCTTATGACCTTAATTCGTGCTTCAAGGGGTAATTCCATTGGGAGAATTTGAATGCTCATCAATCTTAGGGTGTTAAGAGTTCACGAAACTCCTGACTGAATCTTAAGCCATCTTCACCCAATGCTTGGTCAATGCATGTAGGACATCATCAATTTCTCAAATTTTTAGTTGGATCCAGGAGTTTGGTGAAGAGGGACTCAAATGCTTAATCAAACACCTGAGGGATTCCTGCTCAAAGCAAGGGCACATTGATAAACGAATACAGCACGAGTGTGTGAGATGTTTGAAGGCCTTCATGAATAACAAGGTACTTGTAATATCAACAAAAAACAAGATTCGTGATCATCAGTTTGTTAGAGTCGATAACAAAGGCAATTAAGGAGTTGGTTGTCAGTTGAATAATTAGCATGTAGCATGAAGCCATCGAGTTATGGATGCATGCTGGAGGTTGCTAAGCAAGAAAGAAATGTAAGAGTCACACAAGGCAATAGCCGAGTGCAACTCTTGCTTCTTGAGTGCTTAGCAACCTCCGGCTTGCATTCAAGCCTCAGGCAAATGGATTGAGTGTCTTAGCCAATCAGAGTGGGCACTGTATAAAGATATGTTATGATGCATTTGTTTTCAAGAATTAGGGCCCAGTAGAGCAAAGGGCTGATAATGCTATTCAATGGATAAACCACAATGAGTGTTAACAAAACATACTGTACTATTCATTGGAGAGAGTTTATCAAATGGATAGTGTTATTCACCCTTCAAACAAACAGGGCCTGATGTACAACATCCAACTGACAAACAACTCCTTGCTTAGGGCTGATGATGGCTTCTCCTCAGAAAAGTCAGGCATTGTCCCTAACAACTGACAACTACAACATTTCAGGACAAGCCTTACATTGATATTCAGACCATGCAATCTTCTGCACTATATGATACTAGTATTTGATTTTGATTCTATGGGGAAATGCAGCAGTTCTATTTGTATACTATGTAACTATTATAATACCCTTCACTCATAATCAAAATAATTTTCTATTCCTCTGCTCAATAGTATGGTCTCAATATGATGTTAAAAAGTGATGATGGTTTGGTTTTACTGGCAAGATCAATGGATCCAAGCTATCCTAGCATGATGGCTGATGTTGTCAAGTTGGTAGCTGCGGTGTGTCTCGTTAAGTAAGTTTCTCCACATGTACAGGAGTTTGTTCTAGAAATAATTGGTCAAAGAGGGCCTGGTGGGTCCCTTTCTTTGATTGTAAGGGTACCTTGCCAAGAAAGGGGACCCAACCTAAGGGGCACTCAAAAGGCTTTTGAACCTATTTCTATAGTGTAGCTTGTGAAAAAATTAAGAAGAGAAACACAGTTGAGAGAGTGAGAGGCTGTAACTTTGTTACTTTCAGTCATGATAAAGCCCTTGAGGCAATCACGCGTTGTGGAGAGCTAGAAGAATGTGGAAGATTTGTGAAGCTAGTCGAAGCACTGGATGATGATCACACTAATCTGAAGGTAAAATCTCATAGCTACATTGTCTGTATTTCATGGTTAGTAAGAGCAGCAAGTGCCATGAAAACCAACTTGGATTTACATGGTAAAAGTAGGCAATGCAGGGACCTCTTCATCCTTTTGTAGAGTCATGACTGTAATCAGTTTTCATTTCATTATTATTTCAGATCGCTTGTGTACAACTTCTCAATGCCCTCGTCAGTACTCCAGATGACTTGGATTTCAGATTGCATTTGAGAAATGAATTTGCTAGAGAAGGCTTGAATGAGCCATTACAGGTTTGACAAGGAGTTCCTGTCCATCTGTTTGTGTTTGTTTGTGTGTGTGTGTGTGTCTGCAATTTTACTGCCTTATTAATGACTGTCTCTGTTTTTCTAAGTTTCCTGCCTTCGCTGTACCTGCCTACTATTGATTTGCTTTCTGTCTAACTCTCTATTATGGATGTGTTTATCTTTATGCTTTCCTCTTTTCCGGTCTATCAATCTATCTTTTTGTCAACTGCTCATTTGTCTTTTGTACTCGTCTCCTTCTTCTCTAGTCTATTTAACTGTCTGTTTATAAAACTTTGCAACTTCATTAGCAGTTTCATTGATGGATGTTTTTGTTTTGTATCATTTAGGATCTTAGAGAACTAGAAAATGATGATTTAAATGTTCAGTTGGACATTTTTGAAGAACACAGGGATGACGACTCTGCTGAATTCCAGCAGAGATTCACAGACATTAAAATAAACTTTGAGTATCCTTCAGATTTCAGTATAGAAGATAGGTCATAAATAATAACAGAGGGTCTGATCCAGAAAGAAGTACTTTTATAATTGTGTGTGTGTGTTTCATCAAACTTGAGCAAAATAGAAGCATTTTTTAAATAATTATGTATCAGGCCTGTATCTAGGTCATCAGAGATAGCCACAGAGCTGTTACAGTAGTAGAAAATTTAATGATCATTTGTCTTCATACTTTAAACTTTTACCATGAAACAAAAGAAAGACATGTGAATTTAAGTTTTGTCTGATGTGTTTTTGAGAGCAAGCTTCCTTGCCAGTTTGACATGAGTTTTGAATTGTATATGAGACAACCAAAAATTATTTGAAGGCAAGATACTCTTTAAAAGCTTTGCCTTTCTCCTGCCACTTGTAAATGTAACATTAAATCAAGATCTAAGACTGTTAGTTGTTTTTAAAGACGCACAACAAAATTTTACCTTAACTTTCTATCAGGGATCGAAATGAGATTATACAGATAATAACAAACCTCATCCAAGACACTCCATCAGAACCCATGTTCCTCTCCATACTCCAGCACTTGTTGCTCATTAGAGATGATGTTTATGCCAGGTACTGTCTGTTTGAATTTTTGTTGCTCAGCCCAAGGCTTGATATAACTTCTCAACTGGTGCCGGTCAATTTGTCCAGCTATTTTCTCCTAGACACAAATCATCTGTTTTATGCCTTACAAATTGGCAATGAACACATCTCAATGGTTACAAAGTTTGTTGTGAAAGAGTTTTTTCTCCAAAATGGATATTTCTCAATTTAGCCTATAAGGATAACTTGACTTTTTTTTCTCTGTTTTTGTTCACAGACCTCAATACTACAAATTAATTGAAGAGTGCATATCTCAAATTGTCCTTCACCGAGGTGGAGTTGATCCAGACTTTGCCCTTAAAAGAATTGATATCGATGTAGAACCCCTCATTGGTGAGTTTCCTCTTGTTTGTCTGTTTTTTTAATTGAAAAAACTTCAATTAATTTTGTTGTCTGTGCATTGAATGTTCTGAAAAAGTAGCTGTAAACAATAAGAAATGTTGAAATGTGAAGAGGCTGCTAAGGGGTGGCATGTAATGGCACTTAATTAAAACAAAACAAAGATATAAAAATAGTAAAGCATCACATTTTGTATTTTTTTCCTTGTATTTCCCATAGAAAATCTGGTTGAAAAAGCACAGTATGAGGAAGCAGCTGAAAAATCCGTGCAGCTGGAAACTAAGGTATGTAGACAGCAGATATTTTTATCAAGTAAGAGTAACTTCACATGTTTGGAGAAGTTGAAATCTCTTTATTTGCTTTACATCACTTGAGTTAACAGTTGGTAATGCTGCATATGTAGGTCAAAATTTTTTTCGATTATAGTAATGATACTGACGGAATACAGGTAACTCTTCTTGTTTTGAATAACCTTTTTTTTTCTTCAGCTGGAACTTGAAACAACAATGCGACAAGAATGTGAAGCTAAATTAACATTAACGTCGACAAATTTTGAAACGAAGATAGCTGCCCTGGAGAAGGAGCTTGCAGAAGCGCGTGAACAGGTACAATCTGATTCATGGAGTTATGGTTTCACTGTGTTATGATTTGAGTGGCAATAGTTTTTAATACTTGTGAAAAAATTTGTAGCTGGTGTGATGCCGCATTTCATCTCCGCCAAGAGACTCATCAGATAGTTTTCATAAATTTGAGTGAACTCCTTGAGCTTTGTGCTCAGTCCCATTTGCAGTGTCAAGATGTTTATCACGATGCTCAACCAGTTTGCTTGAAATTTGTGTAAAGCATTTGGCTGAGATGAAATTTACAAAAAAAAAACTATCTGGCGGAGACTAAATACGGCATCATACTAGCCAAATATTTTTTCACAAATAATAATTATATCAGCCCCCAAAGTGAGCATGTAGAGATGAAATAAACAATTCCTAATATAAGAGAAAAATCGAGTTTCCCATCTGGAAACTCGATTTTTCTCTAATAATTATATCATATTTATATGCATAAATCCATTTTCCATTTCAGGCCAAGCGAGCTGTTCCTATATCAGGTAAACAGAGTTTTAACTTGTCACACTGTCCATCTTTGTTGTGCCAATGCTTTTAAGGTAACTTAGAAAGAGAAAAATCTCAGTCTAATTGCTGAATAACTTAGGATCATAAATTTTTACACTTTTTTAAATGATTTTTGAAATTACATGATAATCATAATCAGTGATTTTGAGGAAATTCTAATGTGCAGTAGGATTAACTAGCCACTGTCAATTTTCGGAAAAAGTTGGTTGTACAAAATAATAATGCACATAACAAATAAATGTCACTTTGTCTACGAAATATTCAATATCCTAATTTTAACCCTCTGTCATAAAACTGTTTAAATTTGCAATCATATAAATTCAATATTACCAGGCTCAAAGTCTCTAGATGTAACAGATTACCCATAATCTTTGCTTAATTCTAGATTCTGAAAATTTCATTATTAATCCAAGTAAAGGGTTATCATAAACCAAGCTTTTCCTCTTTGTTCTCCTGCTCAAGACAATAAAGTTGTCATTTTGCACGTCAGAATCTAACTTGTTTCAAAGAAAGCACTGTACACTGTACACTGTAGAAGCCATCCTTATTGATGTGACTGTTACAATTAAGCTTTGAATGTCATAAAATGTTACCTAATTCCTAACCTGTAATATTTAATTTTGTAACAACTTGTTAATGAGAAATTTTTATAAATTGGATCACATAAAATTTTTTTAACATCATACATCTTTTGTTATTAGTCAGCCAATCACAGCCCAGAACTGAAGGAGTTGCTCCACCATGCTCTCGAGTTTTCATGATCCCCACCCCATCATCTACACCCCCTGTACCTCCTCCTCCTCCAGCCCCACCCCCGCCCCCTCCTCCTCCTTCAGCTACCTCTGCAGTAGCAAGTAAGTAAATTCTTCTGAATGCCAGCATGTTTGTTTTTGTGGGGACGGTGCTTTCAAGAGGTTTTTAGTGGGAGGGGAACCCTTAAAGTTGGTAGGAAGAAAATAAAAGTTTATGCCAACTCCTTCATTTCCACTGCCAAGACAGACAGCCAGTTCCTCTCGCTCTTGTGATAGCCCTGGAGCAATCTAGTTATCTTGCTTGTCACTCCACGCGCACTCCAACGCATCATACTCAACATGGTGCCACAAAATACATCAGTTTTTTGTTTGTTACGTTTGTTTGATTGGAGCTTCTGCCATTCCATTCTCACGCGTATGCATGATAAGAGATGCTCCTTTATTGAGTTAACAGGAGACATTTTTAGAAGCTTAACATAAACATTCTTGCTATTCCCAACGGGAAGTAATTGTGAAATAAATTAAAGCCAATAATAAAACTTTAAAAACCATAAATTAGCCCATTTATGAATTTTGAATGAATGATTTAAAAACTGTTTGTAACTGTTTTAGTTTGCTTTCTTGCTGTGTAAAACAGTAGCTCCTTGTGTTCTAAGAGAAATTTAAAACTCATATGCCAGCTTCCTCATGTTTCGTCTTTACTTACCGTTGTCAACTATTTGGATTAAAAAATAATGAATTTGTCTTTTCAGGTGGCCCTCCTCCGCCTCCACCACCACCGGGTGGAGCTGCTCCCCCTCCCCCACCTCCACCTCCTCCTCCACCTGGAGGTCCCCCAGCCCCTCCGTTGCCCCCATTCCCCGGTGGGGGTCCGCCTCCTCCTCCCCCGCCACCCCCTCCTGGTGGTGGAGTACCACCTCCCCCACCTTTTCCAGGTGGTGGTCCACCGCCACCACCCCCACCCCCAGGAATGGGTGCACCGCCTCCGCCGTTCCCTGGCATGGGTCCCCGCCCTCCGTTTGGATCCCCTGTACCTGTTTTACCTCCTGGTGTTGCTCCGAAGAAGAAATACAAACAGGACGTACAACTGAAGAGAGCAAACTGGAATAAGGTTTGTGCCGTCAAAATGTCATTTTTCGTTATCATTCTGGTCTGCCTGTGTGCCTCCCTGTTTAGTGGATAACGAAGCCGCGAGAGCAATGCGAAAGAGAATGACGAGTCCTCCACTTGGACCTTCACTTCTCGTTTTCGCTGCTCGGCATCGTTGCATATGTCGAGCACCTGAAGAAATGTTGTCGTCTTTCCAATTTTCACTGTCGATTTTGCCATCATAATGCCTGTCACTGATTTTCTATCGTTTTGGCTCCGTCTTCGACTTATCTCGGAAGTAAAGTTTTCATTTAACCTTCTGCGTTTAAGAGGAGTGTTAGCAGGGCGTATCTCAGTTTCCAAGTACAACTCTTTAGGGCTTTATTTTTTATCCAATAGAATAAAAGCGAACACAAAAAGTATCACAATTGTGACTGCTTGCTGTTGCTTCCTGGCCAAATAGTTGGCACCTCACGTCGATTTGGTAAGACGATCGTAGTCAGTAACAAATTGATATGATCTATTTTTCTCAGATCAACATGAAGAACTTCACAGAAAATACTTTCTGGGCTAAAACGAAAGAGGAGAAGTTGGAAAAGCCTGGATTATTTGATGAGCTGTCGAAGACGTTTGCCGCAAAAGGTGCTCCCAAAAAGGCAGAGGGAGGTGAAGGAATGGAAAAGAAAGCAGCGGCCAAGAAAAAAGGCAAAGATTTAAAGATTATCGATCCAAAAAGCGCGCAGAACTTATGTAAGTGTCGCAAATATTTTGTTCCAATATTGTGGTTTATAGAACGAGCCCTCGGTCTGGTTGGTTAGCAGCTTCTTTAACACGAGCTCTGATGGGTTCTCTGGTATTGAAGTGTAATGCTGTCTGATTGGTTGCGCAGTGATCAAGTCGAACCGAGGATATTGATGGCCTGTTTCATCTTTAACCCTGGCACTAAGTTACTAACTCTACCCCACGTCTTACCTTGTAAACACATGTTTTGTTTGCCCTGCAGCGATTTTCCTTGGCTCACTTAAGTTACCACATAGAGAGGTCAAGAAGTTGATTATGAACTGTGATCAGGTGGTTTTGACAGAAAGCGCCATTAACTCTCTACTGAAGTATCTTCCATCGCCAGATCAGGTGAGGCGATTGACCCGCCAACTAAACGAACATACGACTGACCAACCGAAGAAACGAACGATTGACCGACCGACGCCCGGCGACTGACTGACTGACATGTCGATAAAAGAATGAGTGAAGAAGTGGAATCCTTGTCTATTTAAACGTATTTCTATTATTTTCCAATATGTCTAAATTTTTAACACCCTCTCTTTTTCGTTTCAGATGCAACAGCTTGGAAATATGAAAGAAAATTTTGACGATCTCAGTGATCCGGAACAGTTTGCTTGCTTGGTAGGTTGTTTAAGAGATCGTAGTTTGGAAACTTCGACATACCTTTGTAGCTATCAACTTCATGAAACTCATGTCAAGACACGTAACAAAAGCGAAACGCGGGAAAATATTAAGCGCTGGAAGATGTTGCAAACCGCGGTGAGACGTGGAAAGTCACTCATTGGCGGGAAAACGCGCGCAGTCACCTTGGTTTGGTTCGTCCTGATTGGTTTTTAAAAATGAATTGCTTTTGTGTTTTTCGAGTAAATTAAAGGGCTTCCACCTTAAAAGCGCTATTGTGGTATGGACTGAAATTGTTGTTCAGGACTGGTATGAAAGTTTGACTTGTGACTGTTTGATTTCCAGCTAAGTGGTATTAAAAAATTGGAACCAAGATTGAACATGATACTTTTCAAGATGAAGTTTCCTGAAGAAATGCAAGATGTTAAACCGGTAAGCTTTTGCCCAGAAATCGAGCTGAAAGCGATGGATAGAAATCTTTGCGTCGTTAAAAAACCAAAATCAATGGATTAGATATTTATCTTAACTTTCTAGTTGTTACATGTAGCTAGAATGGAGAGAAGGAAAGAGCATTTCTTGTGTTCAGTTTCTCTGAAGAGTAATTCGAAGAACTCAAGTCATTTTAAGCATTATAACTGTCTTTTTTCTTCAATAGGAAAAATGTTAAACTAATGAAGAGAAGACGTTAGATGCCATTTTGTACAGTTTCTTATCCTGTGTTTCTTTTTGCAGAACGTTGTAAATGCAACTGCCGCATGTAGAGAAGTAAAAACTAGCCCCAAATTTTCCAAGTTTCTTGAACTAGTTCTTCTCATGGGTAACTACATGAACGCTGGATCCAGGAACGAGGGATCCATGGGATTTGAGATGAACTATCTCACCAAGGTGAGCGATCCATAGCCAGAACTTCGTTACTTTTGTTGTATTAAAGAACCTTGCGCAGTTTGTACTCGAACTGCCAAGAGAGAGAACACGAGGAATTCGACCCAGCTGACATTAAATGCCATTTAACCGGGTTAAAAAACGTTTTTGGGGAAATGCGTGTTAATGACTACTACCGTGAAAAAAAGTTGACGAGATTACCCTCTTTGCTTTTCTTGACCGTTTCACGACGATTTCCAGGTAACATTTGTGCTGGGAAGAGGACCCAAAACGCTTATTCCTTTAAGGATAACCGCCCTTCTCTGTATAGTTGGTTAAAATTTTTAAGAATGAGAACATAAAGTGTTTAAGTGAACTTCTTAATTTGGGAAAGCTGGTTATTTTTCTCTGTGCACCGTACTTAGGTCTGTAATATTCTGGGTAATCAAACGTCTGAGGTAACTGATGTTTTACATTGTTATGTTCTCCGTTTTGCAGTTGAGTTCAACCAAGTCCGTGGACGGTCAGTTGACTTTGGTTCATTTTCTGGACGACATCATAGAAACCAGATATCCAGAGATTTTAGGTTTTGAAAAAGAGCTAACACACGTTGAACAAGCTGCCAGAGGTGAGAGCTCGCTTGTCACGTCACGTCACGCAATTCTTTGGTTAGGGAGGCGTGTCATGCAACGTAAACGCGAAGCATCTTGGAACTAACCCTTTCATTCCCAGGATTTCATCCGTAATATTTTTTACTGTCTGTCACTGTTACAATTTATGAACTTAGTTCGGAGAATTTGGTATTGGTTCAACAAAGTTCACATGTTCCTCGGAAAAGTTAAACTTAGACGATGAGTGAACTGAAACACAATGAGTTCCAGTAAAGGTCAAGAAAAGTCGTTTTAAACGGGTAACACTTGAACAGAACTGGATGTGGGTCGGCTGCATGCTTCATCTGTGAAAATAGTATCGAACTGTACTTTTAGCTTGCTTACTCACTCTTCCGATTTGGCGTTGAAGGCGCCACCAAGGATTGGTAAGATTTAGGAACGCTTGATACAATAACTTTACTACGGAGGGGGTGGTAACGACAAATTAGTGAGGGGGGAGAGGCTTAGGCAAAAATATTTCGACCCCACACCTCATCTCTCCTGATTATTTTTTTTTTTTTCGCTCTAGGCTTTCCTCGATCTCACCATATTCAATATGGCGACTTCAACGTCTAGATGTTAAGCATTCGTTCGCCCTAAAATGCTCCTCATTTGCATGTTACTCTGCCTTCTGTCAAACTTCCTTAAAATTTTGCTACAAAATGTGCGATTTGCGAGCATGCAACGCGGAAATGTGTTGACGTTAGTCCTTTGATAATCAAGCTGTTATGAAGTGTTGTACTGGCACATTTTTTAACCATCATTGTACTCTCTATGTTTAGTCTCGGATGAAATTCTTCAGAAATCAATCAACAGTATGCAGGCAAACCTCAAGAAGCTCGAAAAAGAATTGGAAATCTACAAGCCGCACAATGATCCAGAAGACAAGTTTATGCCGGTTATGGAGATATCCTTTAACATGTGAACTTTGTCGTTGTAGTATAAATATTGTCATTTGCTGCTGATATCTTGTTTTCTGCGCTAAACGTTTCCTTCGGAGGGCGATTGTCTCATAAAATTCATAATTGTGGAGCCATAATTGTTCTCTTTATCGTCTCTCGCCGTTGCCAATTCTAATAGTGCAGTTGTCTAGAAGTGTACTTTTTTTCTCCTTCTCGAGAGAGATTTAAGCGCAACACTCAGTTCAATGGGATTGCAAGCTGGTTGTCAAACGTGGAGATCTTTGTTGTGAATTCTTCGACAAAAAAAAAGAGACTGTTTGCAAGATATTTCTTTGACAATACTCACGGCTTTTACAACAGTGCCAAAGACCAAATAGATGTCCTGGTTGAGATGCACAAAAACATGACCACAATGTACAAGGAGCTGGTGGAGTATTTCTGCTTGGACATCAAGAAAACATCCATGGAAGAATTCTTCGGTGACATCAAAACCTTCTTAGACTTTTTTGAGGTATAACGAAAACTGACATTTGCTGGTTAGTTTCCAGCAGTTTTGAGTCTTCATGCGCATATGTTATTAGATAAGGGGTTGAAAGTCGGAAACTTACAGTCAAACTAAGTGAAGCGTACCCCTCAAGATTACATTAATGAATTGATCAATTGGATATTGAACCCGCCAGTCGTTTCAAGCATGCAATAATGAATTGATTATTTGATTATTGAACCCGCCAGCCGTTTCACGAATGCAATAATGGATTGATTATTTGAATATTGAACCCGATAGCCGTATCCGTTTTGAAAAGGCGCGGATCATTGTTAAAATTAGAAGTCCATTTCTGAAGTCCAATAAGATTGTTCTAGTTGATGAGGAATCCTGAAAATGAACAAACTGCACTGTAAAAACACTGCGAAAACAGTCGATCGATGGCTTCGCCCGTAAACTATTTTTTTCGACCATGAATACACACAAGAATTTCTACAAGTTCGTCAAGATGTAAATAGGCGAAAAAAGCTCTCGATAACATTTCATTTACAACATTTACAAGAAGTTCTACACAACACTCGTACTCACCTTTCCCACCATGTCTAACGCCATGTTGAAATAGTTCCGATCCATCATCACGTGTTCGCATAATCCAATCAGAAATGGACTGATTTGAACAATGATCCGCGCCTTTTCAAACGAATACGGCTATCGGGTTCAATATTCAAATAATCAATCCATTATTGCATTCTTGGAACGGTTAGCGGGTTCCATGTTCAAATATTCAATTCGTTATTGCGCTCCTGAAACGAGTAGCGGGTTCAATATTAAAATAATCAAATCATTAATGTAATCCTGAGGGGTACGCTTCACTTAGTTTGACTGTAACGCAAACGGAAAGCATTAGTATCGGGTGGGCTAAGGAATGGTTTGGATCGCTTTTTTTTTTTTTACTAGTTGAAGGAGAAGCGTTGAAACGAATTTTTTTTTTTTTTTTTTTTTTTTTCTGTATGGGACTCCAATATACAATGATATCACTCATTCACTCAGTGTAGACAAGGTCGTTATTAGTCGGCCCGAACTCGAGAATGCCCGAGCAATCTCACGAAGTGAGACCGAAAATACTTCGGGATTACCTCGAGTTCTTTCAATCAGTCTTCGATTTCAACTCGCTAACTTTTATCTTAAATACTAATTTTTTTGCAGTCTATTTTTTATTACTACAATAAGTTGTCTTGTTGCTTAGTTTTCTGAGCTGAGGTCTTGTACGTTATTTGTTGATATTGTAGAAAGCGAAGAAGGACAATGCAAAACGAAAAGAGAAAGAAGAAAAGGATAAAAAGGCAAAAGAACGAGCGGTAAGGTTTTCGTTCTTTGTTGAGCGGCATGACTCTTGTTATACGCAAAAGACTTGGTTCTTGGTTTTGGTAGGTCTGAATTTCATTCTCATCGTTTCTAGCTCAACAATAAATTTCTTAGTCTGTTGGCAGCCGTTTCACTGCCCGATGTGAGGGTGTAGCGTGAGAACTATTGCGCGTTCGCCTTCTCGTTTTTATTTCCGATCTCGCTCGTGATAGTCCACGCGGCTCTCATTTTGCTCTCGTCCTAAACGATTATTTAAGAGAAAAACAGAAAGTCTTTAAACAGGGTTTTTATCTCTTCTTGGAATTCGAAAGGTTTTATACCGCTGGTAAGTGTGATAAACAGTGTCCCGAAGAGTGTGTTCGCACTGTTCTGAAGGCTAAACAATCCTAATTTCTTGCATTGCAGGAAAAAGATAAAGAAAGGAAGAAGCGAATGGAAACTGAGAAATCCAAACGAAAGCCTGTTGTGGATATGAATGCAGGTTTGTGGCAAGGTCTTGTTTTCCTTGGAAATTACAGCACTGTGTGGCAAACAGGAAAAGCGAATGATTGACATAAATTTCCGCGCTCTTTGCCAGTGCCAACAATGCTAACTGTTCTTGACATTCCCGCCATTGTTGCTTTACCGCCACCAGATTTTTCTGACGGCGTGAATATTTATGAACTTTCAGATGAAACGAAAACTAAAATAATTTATTTTTTGTAGATGATGATCAAGAGGGAGTTTTAGACGGTCTCATGGAGGCGCTCAACACAGGATCTGCCTTTAGAGATCCCACCCGACCCGCGCGGAAAAAGGCGGGAGGCAAAAAAGGTAACACGATCTTTATAACGCAAGTGACACCTGTAACGCCAGCTTAACTATCGCGAACATATCACGCACATCTATAATGTTCTTTTCCATCTTTTCAGCTCGACCTGTGGACTTACGCCGGTCACGAACCCGCACAAATATACCCGTACAGAAGATAATGGATGCACAAAATGTTGTCGACGGGCAGCAAAATGCAGTAGATATAAATATCGATGATCAGCCCGTAGCTCCTTCAAGACGAAAAAAGGACGACAGGCGCGAAGGAGGAGAGAAAAGCGAAGAGGGTCTTGAAGACGAGGCGCAGGACATTTTAGAAAGATTAAAAAAGTTATGAGTGTTGCAAGATGAGAGAAGGTCCTTCGCGGGACAGTAGGTCATGTATGGTCTTACTTAAAGTGGAAACAAAAACAGCAGCCCAAGCAGGAATTTCTCTTATTTGTTTGAGAGAGTTCACTGGGACTTATACCACGGCGGTCTTGCATGACTGTATCAGTGTGTCTTTACTACTACTTTGGGTAAAATGTGTTATTGACGCTCATCGAAGCGATGGCGAAAATTAAGAAACTTATTAATCAGTAAAGATGATAGGAAATGTAATGAAAAATCTATTTCGTGGAACACGGATTGTTTTGAATTCCAAACGGCTGACTGCAAAGTCCATTAAATCTATAATCTTGCAATGAATACTGCTTCCAAGAATCATTTGTTTCTTCATTAGGGACTTTAAGCAGTCAGGACGGCAACGGCACGGAAGACTTCGATTAAAAAATGAGTTTCTATTTTTAGTTAGAATTTCGGGAAAGAGTACCATATAACCCCATACATTTAATTATGCATTCCACTTCTTTGTCTTTCACGACAAAGTTTAAAAACAAAGTCTACTAGTCTGAATGCATAATTAATGTATGGTACTCTTGCCGAATTTCGGAAATGGCTGCATGTGTTTGCCGTCTCATAGGGCGCCAGGCCTCAAACTCAACATAACGCATAAAAGTAGCGTTGAGTTCCAAATGTAAATTAAAATAATTTGCCGCCGCGGTTTCGGTTCGCAGACGAGGCAAATTTGGGTGATTTCACGTTGTTGTTTTGCAAGGGACGGCTAAGAAATGTACAAAGTTTTAAAACGCACATGTTGAGCTATTGTTCTGTCAATTAGATCTATTTTTTTTCCACGTTCTCGTTGCCGTAGCCGTCGTGGTTTGCTTAAAGTCCCTATTATCATCATTGCAGTTATGTACAAGGCGTAAACGCCGATAAATTACGTGCCATGTCGTCTGTTCCAGTGTACAAAAAGCAAAGAGTCAATACTTATGTAATCAGCGTGGTCTTTCTTACTTGCATACATAAATCATAGTAACACTAATTTTGGTTTCCAAAGTGATTTGTAGACATGTTTTTATGTATTATGGTAGAAACTTTTGGTTGCCTGTTTAATATTCAATAATTACTTTAAATCGACACACCAAATTGAGATGGAGCGAAATGGAGTTAAACATAACTAGTTCGGGCAACTTGAAATGTATGATATTCGTAGAAGGGTTTAGTTTGGTCTTATAAGATACACTTAACGAATATTTGTGTCAGGGTAGGACTGTAGGGGGATCCTCTCTAACTCCCTCACCCACCTGAATTAACGGGGTCACTTTATTCCCTGGATTTTTGCTTAATTAGGTTGATAAAACTCACGAGAAAGCTTCCTGTTTTTAACAGTTGCTTAGCTCTTTGAATTTTATTTAAAGATCTGTGTAGATAATTTGAAAAGTAGGACACAAATGGTACATTTTGAAAAAGGGGTTTGGGCATGTTTGATTTATCTTGTCACTCTTTTGCGTTCATGTGACATACACCGTGTTGTGCAGGTCGCATCGCGTGATTTAAAGTCATATGTCTGCTTTTCTTTGTTGAGGTTGTCACGTAACGAGTTTTCCCGGTATTATGTGATGACCGACGTTGACAGTCACAGAGAAGCTGCAATAGATTCGGTTAAACCAACAGCGAAGCACCGATGATTACAAACAATGCTTCTCAATCGAAATGTTTTAGGTAATGATGTGAATATGCTGTGATGCCGTAAATGTAAGGCTCAGGTGAGTCTTGTATCTCTGTACAGAGTCAAGATTGTGTTCATGTTGAATATGAATAAAGCAAAAACACGATAATTACTGAGCTGTCTTTTGGTGTAACGAGCTGTTAAAGTTCTTAATAGAAGTTTTTAAATGGGGTTCTGATGTCACGTTGGCTTTTCGACCCCATCGGCACCCAAGAGAACATGGTGGGGAAACGCGGCAACTCCCCGCCTCCCCCCCCCCTGCATTAGAATCTTAAATACAGATTTGCAGAGATTAATTTTTAATTGCTAATTTTTAATGAATTAATTAATGCAGATTACTTACGGCCGGGGATTCCCTTATTAAGTTAGTAGAGTAGATTAATGGGCAATTACGTCTGTGACGTCAGTTATTGCATAATTTCCTTAGTATTTGAGCTCTCTCACCGACTTGTCGCTTAATTCTCTCGAGCACAGAGTTGTCTCGATCAATTTACCGGATTCGACTCGAATGTAAGCATATCGTTCTCTTACAAAGAGGTGATAGTCTCAATCTATCATGTAAAGCAGGGAAATTTTGCCATTAACTGTTCTCAATGAAATGTCGATTTTGAAGCTCTCTTAAAATGCGAAACGTTCCAGAAGAGGTTCGGTTAAACCACAAACTCCTGGTGAAGTCTTCGATAGCGTGGAAATTGAATTGTTTTTCTTGTTGTTGTTGTTGTTTTGTTTTTTTTTCTCTCTTTCTCCACCTTTGTAAAGAAGTCCTACGGACTTGATAAAGGTCTCAGGTCATGTCGGTTCATTTGCAAGTAAGGCCGTGTGAAGGTCAAAGGGGCGTGTTATGTGTGTAATTTTCCACGACTCGGGAAGAGGTTACTCCACAACAGAGCTGACTGCCTTCGAGAAACAGAAAGTCGCGCCGGAGCGTATTTTTATTGATGAGTCATTTTCAAAACAAAATTCATTTTTGATTTTCCTCTTTCTAGATGGCCACACAAAAGAAGAAACTTCACTTCGTGGAGAACTTCGCTCTGAGTGGTGCTGCAGCAGTTATCTCTAAGACTGCAGCCGCCCCGATTGAGCGAGTGAAACTTCTTGTTCAAAACCAGGATGAGATGATCAAGGCTGGCCGACTGGATACACCTTACAAAGGTGTCATTGACTGCACTGTCAGGACCTACAAAGCAGAAGGAGCTGTATCTTTTTGGAGGGGTAAGTACTTTGTTTTGATAGTGCGGTTATTTTGTTGCCTGTTGTCGCTGCTTTTCAGCACTACTCCGATGATAGTTTAAAAACCAATCAGCTGTGTAGGCTCAGGACAGCTAAAACTCAGTTTTGCCTCTGTTTGTTTGGTTTGCACATGTAGGAACCTTTCCAGAATTTCACAGATCAGGGCTGGTAGTAGCCTTAAAATATATTTTACTTAGAAGACCTCCCAGTTTTGCTGGATGAGGAATGATTCGATCTTTCTCTCATTGGAAGCAGGGATACCACAACGCTGACCAAACATTATTCCTATTTCTGTTACCTAGATTTTAATAGACCTTCACTGAAAAATTTGTTGTAAGTTTTCCTTTGCAATATATCTAATTTCTTTATATTTATGTCAGCTACAATCTTTTTTTCCTTCTGTTACTGATTTATTTAGATGTAAAGTTCTCCATGTGTTCTGCTTTGTCAATGTATTTTTCACCGATTGTTTAGTTTCTGCCTTATAAAAAAATTGTCGGTAGTGTAACTTGTTTTTATTTATTCCAGGTAACCTGGCCAATTGCATCAGGTATTTCCCGACCCAGGCCCTGAACTTTGCATTTAAAGATCAGATTAAAGCCCTTTTCAAGCCAAAGAAAACTGACTCTTATGCAGCAAAGTTCAGCAAGAACATTGCCTCTGGTGGAGCTGCTGGAGCCCTGTCATTGCTCTTTGTGTACTCCCTTGACTACGCCCGAACCCGTCTGGCAAATGATGCTAAGTCGAAAGGTGCTGAGCGCCAATTCAATGGTCTCATTGATGTTTACACAAAAACCTTAAAGAGTGATGGCATTGTTGGACTCTACAGAGGTTTTGTGATTTCTTGTGTTGGTATTATTGTGTACCGAGGGTTCTACTTTGGGTTGTATGACACCCTGAAGCCACTGCTGCTGGGAGATGATGCCTCTTTGGTGCTCTCATTCCTTCTGGGTTATGGTGTGACTGTGAGCTCAGGTCTGGCTTCTTACCCAATTGACACCATACGGCGACGCATGATGATGACATCTGGGCAGGCAGTGAAATACAAGGGTTCCATCGATTGTACTGTCCAGATCTTGAAGAATGAAGGCTTCATGTCCCTTATGAAGGGTGCTGGAGCTAATGTCCTGCGTGGTATGGCTGGAGCTGGCGTGCTGGCTGGCTTTGACAAGCTTAAGGAGGTGTATGTGAGCTGGCGTTTCGATGACTAAGATCCTGATTCGGACACAGTATCATCTGTCACAAGATTGAAATCTCCTGCTTTGTAAACGATTCTTGATTATCTCCTGGACAGTATCCAAACTACCACTGTGTAAAAATAATACCAGAGTGATATTTTTGCAAGTAGAGAGTTCGTCTCATTTATTTGCAAATGTATATTTTCTAAAAATAAAATCAAGTTAAAACTTGCCTTTTGTCTGACTTGTTTCTGTCCTCAGTAATGACTTTGAGACATCCCTTTTCTGGCATGGACTTTTTGTCAACCTCTAACACCCTTAGATCAGTATTTACATTCTCCATACTGTTCTCCATACATTTCTTAAGGTGCTGACAAAGGAGAATCTGCTTCACAATCAATACCTTCTTTAGTTGATGATAATTTCTTTTATTCTAGTGAGGTCCTGCTAGGGGGTATAGATGTCGCCCGTCTGAATTTCAAACTTTGTCACATCACCATTTTGGAAGGTTCTGATGTCGCTGTCGTAATTTCATCAATGTTGTGCTGGAAGTTGCATTTTCATTTCCCTGATGTCGCTGTTTCAACACCATGTCGCCCATTGGAATTTATCCTATCGGGGCCTCTCTAGTGACCTTAAGTGTGATTCAAGGGTGATGCTGTTGTAAATCTTCAAAGGAATTTTTCCTCCATCATATGCTCATAAATTGTCAAACATTATTTCCTTTGAAAATTGATTCTACTGTACTTCTCATCTTGAGAATTTCCTATTAAGTTGATGAGCAAAGATCAGGTCTGTGTGTGAAATGAAATTCAGTTTGAAACCATTTTGTAGACAAGAAAGAACTAGATACTGACTACAGACTTAACAATAATGATACATTGGTATGTAAAAACTACGTCCGTCGTTTTTAATTTTCCAAGAAGTGCTGAGTTTATATCATTAGGTAACCTTGCTACAAATATAATCGAGGGAGACCTGAACCCTAGGTTCCATTGTCTCACGCCACTAATAAACAAAATGGCGGCTAAATTAGCTCCTTACTGTAGTGTTAAGGTCAAAGTATTCCTTGGAAAGTGCTCTGAGACTAATTTCTGATAATGCTGAAACCTGCGGAGGATGAAAGGTTAACGTTTTTGCAAAGTATTTTCTGTGGAGGAATTGCTGGCGTTCTTTCAAGAACTATGACCTCTCCGCTCGAAGTTGTGAAAGTGTTATCACAAGTTGGAACCCCAGAAACTCGTTATGGTTTTTTGAGAGCTTTCAACAGGATTTATCGCAATGAGGGTTTAAAGGCCTTCTGGAAAGGAAATGGTATCTCTTGTCTACGGCTGGTTCCTTACAGTGCAATACAAATGGCTGCCTTCCACAACTTGATAGTGAGCGATAGTACATTTCAAAGCTAAATGTTCTTATGATAACTTGCATAGAGCGAAAACTGTAGTGATAGGTATACGAAATGGACGGTATAGAACCCTTTTCTCATGACCCCTCCCCCTCCCCACCGAAAAAAAAAAAATTAAGACAGGTGTTTGTTGCCTAACAGGTCACGATTTTCGAAACTGACTTGATCCAGAACGAGTTTTCCATTCTAGAAACTTCTTATAAATAGTGATTTTAATGTATGGATTGCATTGAGGGTCCCTCCCCTCAAAGGAGAACTCAAGCCTAAAGTTGTAATTTTTTCCGCATTCATTTTTAGTTAACTTTAAAGGCTTCAGTTCCCCTTCAAGCAATCATCAATGTATAAAAATGAAAAGTGCTTTGATAATACATAACAAGTAATTATGCTCCTTGATTCACTTATTTTTAGAAAAAAAAAGTATTTGAAATATTGGCCAATTTTCAGGCAGTTTTAGAAGACGCACACATGCCAAGTAATCTAAGTGCTAAAAGTTGGATGGTAGCTGGCTCAGGAAGCACCCTAATTGCAGCACTTTTGGTGTACCCAGCTGACATGCTCAAGACTCGACTTATCATCCAGAATGTGAATCCTTCTTCGTCAAACTATTGTGGAATCATGCATGGTTTTCGAAAAATCTGGAAAACAGAAGGATTTATGGCATTGTACAAAGGATTATTTCCAACATTTCTTGGTGAGTACTTGGATGTACAGACAGATGGTAATGAAATGGGAAGCAGGGGTGGATCCAGGAATTTTTGATAGGGGGGGTTCAAACTTTGGTTCAGAAAGGACTGTTGGACTCTTTTGAGGCAAATTACTTCTCCCCCACACCCCCTCCCACCAGTCATGGTTATACGTTATAATTCCTTGGCCGCTTACCATTTACTTGGATTCATTAATTTAAAAAATCAGCCAGTTAAAAAGTGATATACGATCCTGCGGATGTAAGAATTTCAGTCTCAAAGTTGTAAGCATCAGGTCTGATGGGGGGGTGCGGACCCCCCCAGACCCTCCCCCTGGATCTGCCTCTGGGAAGTTTCATGAATTTTTAGAATTTATTTGAAAAAATTGAAAATTGATATTGAGTAGGCTTGTAATGCAAAAGCTTGAGCTTATTTATGTTTTGGTAAGTTTGAATAATAGCTTGTTTCTTTTAAGGTGTGATTCCTTTTGCTGGAGGTTCATTTTTAGCATATGAAATTCTGGACAGTTCAATTCCCACGCCTCCTGGTGATATGACCCCAATGTACATGTTTTTCAGCGGATGTCTGGTTGCTGCTGTTGCTAAGGTGGTATTTCTCACTTACTGTTGTTACCTTTCACTGGAAAAAAAGATGGATTTAAATTTTAAATCATCAAGTGTAATAATTAGCAAGGATTCATTTGTGAATACTCTACATCCAGCCTAGTCTACATGGTGAAGTTCTTTGGTAGTTATTTTTATCTGCCTTTTCAGTAAATGTGTAGTCATATTTTATCCAACTGACACAAACTGTTGACTGCTACTGATCAGACATGTGGTCTCTTTTTCAATCAAATTTGTACAATATTTCATCTTCGGCAAAGCAGTTGTCACATGCTTTGACTTTGTTTTGCTCTGTACATGATTGAGTCTAAAGATCTTTCCTCCAACTTAAGCTACATGCCTATTGGTAAACTGGGACATTTTTTCTTTAATCAACACAAGCTTAATTACCAGTACATATGCATATTTCATAAGCAATTAATATGTGACATTTATTTGGTTTTCAGACATTATCATTTCCCTTTGACACGATTCGAAAGAAAATGCAGGTATATGTTTGAAGTATAAAACTTAAGCCATAATTAATATTTATAAAATATTTTTCGAACCAAGTAAACTTATGCTGCGGTAATCTAAACCAGTGTTCCTTTACCAAGGAGGGTTAGAATTCCTTTTTTAATAAAGACAACACTTGATAATAAGGTAATTATGTGTTTTGAAATATCAAACCTAAGCTGTCCATTTAAATATTTTCTGCATTTGTTGTAAGTGAACAACTTCTTTTAATACAGAAAGTCATAATTGAATAAGTAATGTGAAGTCTTCTTTGTATCTGACAGGCTCAAAGCAGAATTCTCCCAAATAATGGTGGTGTTGATGTTCAATTTAAAGGAATGACTGGTGCATTTGTTCAGACAGTGAAAGTGAATGGAATCACTGGTTTGTGGAGAGGTCTATCAGCTAACCTGCTGAAGGTGAGAATGATTGCCTCATCTTAGGCTGTACTCAACACCTCTGGACAGTTTTTTCCCAATATGAACCTCGTGTCCAGTAACATAAACATCCGTACACTGGAAACTTAGTTAGGAATTCTGTGATTGAGACCTGCTCAGGTCTTTGTGTTGGGTTTGTGGACAAAATACTGAACTCCCATAGTTCCTTGGTCCACCAAAAAATGTAAATGGGTACCAAGAAACCTATGAGGGAAATCTAATTGGAGCTCTAGCCTATTCTAGGAAATAACTGCTGATGGACCATGGTACCATTGAGGGGAAGAAACTTTACTTCTAGTTGCTTTGATGTTACCTTTTTTTCACCTTCTGTTTTTCCCATCTTAACCAACTTCTCTTTTATGTAGATTGCTCCAAATGCTGGGATTATGTTTTTATCATTTGAATACAGTAAAAGAATATTCCTCTTCTACAATGGATTCACAGAGTCACCATTTTCTCATGTTCCAAAAGTTTACGTTGATCAGAGTATGTCGCCAAAGGAATTGCGTCATCATGCTTTGAAGAAGAAAGGGCACAACAGATGACACAGGACACTAACCAAATGCTCCAGAGTGGCTAGCCTGTGGTAGACAGTAGTGTTTAAGAAGAATTTCTGTACAGCTTAAATTCTTAAATTGAAGTTTAGAAAGAAATTGATCCCAAAATAACTTTTGATTTTATGGTGATATCAGAGAAATATATCTTTCATAGAATGCTCAGTTGTTAAATTACAAATTAAATTTATTTATTTAGTACAATTTTGCCTTATGTCAACCAAACAATATTGGCAAGGTGGATAAATGTTTTATCTCCTTAAATTATGCTACTAAAGAACTGATTTGTTGGTTATATACGGTTATGACTAGGAAAAAGGTCCCTTCAACCCCTAATATGGTTGTCTAGTCTTACCAGAGAAGCATCTGTCTTAGAATGTTCAGTTCATCAAACTGCAAACTGATGTTAGGGTATAGAGGATTGAGTCAGTGCTTCTCCCAGTTTGGAAAAATTAGGTCACAGCTTAATTAAAGAAAAAAAGTTATGTCTCGTCACAAGCTTAGGGGCAAGGGGTTTCCTTTAGTCAGAAGACAATTTGCACACAGGTAGGGCATAATCTACAATACAATTGCAGGGTTCATTAGTTTATTTCTGTGTATTTACACCACTTTAACATACTGAATCTAGTACATGAAGCACAGCCCAGAATATCTTACCAATCTAGGCCTCATTTCTAACATGACACAAAACGTGATTAATTAAAAAGCCATACTATACAAATCTCATTAATGCTTAAATACTGAAAAGTTTACATTTACCATTGCCTACACCATATTACGTTGCTTTTGTTAGCAGAAACAATTCTCCCCATCAACTGTTCAAAGTCCAGTTGAAAATTTTCTGCCTTTTCTTAACATGCTTTTGTTGAAAATTAAAAAAACAAAACAAAACACACACAAACAAATAATGAAGAAGAGAGCACCAGGAGAAATTCACATACAAACATGCCAGAGTAGAAAACAGAAAGAAAGAAATTAACTTGATTGCCAACTTTGCTCAACAATGGCGATGACTTTTTTCTCATACTCTCGTTTGTTCTCTTGGTAAAGTTGAGCAGCTAAGCTGTTAGCAGGACTATTTGGATTTGGCTCATCTAATAATGACTGCAAGATAGAAAGTATATTATTAGATGTATTATATATATATATATATATATATATATATATATATATATTGTAGTACACGAGGACAGACAACTTCGAGCTAAGAAAGGCATATACTCAAATAAAAAGTCTAAGAAAGTTTAATAAACTACGTTTCGGGCCGAGACCTTCATCAGTTCCACAGCGTCACTGTTGGCTCGAGGCCTCTTAACTTGTTATATATATATATATATATATAACACACTCAAACGAGACTTTCAGAGCTATCAATAAGAGCTACTTGCCCACCAAAACCAGCACCAGATCTGCCATTTTTAGCCAGCTACTTCCAACTCATTTTGCCATACTTAACAAAAAATTGTACAATTATTGAAATACTTTCGATAAAGTTTTCGTAGCAGCCATTTCCCAATTTGGGCAGAATTGAATACATAATTTACCAGTAACTGGTTTAGGTGTGATAATCATGTGAACCTCCCTGGTGGAATTGCACTGTGTTCACCCCTACCTTATACCGTGTTTGCCCCCACACTTTTCGAGTCTGACCCTACCAAGTCAAGTTCACCCCCAGATTGAGTAATGTCCAGATGAGTTGATTTGTGACAAAAATTGCTCAAGATTGAGGGCACTAGCAGATAGCACCAAATGTCAAGTCAGCAACAACCATTCTGAATTTAGGCAATTGCATGGAATCTGCTTGGGAACTGGGTTGGCGGAATCAACTAAATACTCTGTGTGGGATCTGGGGTTTACCAAAAACAATGGTATATATACTGAAGTTGTGATAATGTGAATCACACTGTCTTAAATCAAAACATTGCTTAACTTATTATTTGGACTGGAAAAGATGAGAAACAACCTCGGTTAATCTAACGAACATGAAATGTGTCTATCGTAACAACCACACTTGAGAAGATGCAAACCACACTTTCATCACAACAGCACTGCTTAAGTTGTTAGACTTATAATAAACGTGTAACAGTTTTAATGATACTTACCTCGTTTCGCTTTATTCAAGAAAATAAGATTGAAGAATTTACAAAACCATGATTAGATCATGCTTTTGATTATTTAAGACTTAATAAGAGAATGCATTCCACACTTCATAGGGTTTTTAATCGTAGCAACCAGACTTGAGAAAATGCAAACCTTGCTTTCCTTGCGACAATGACTTGTAACAAATGTGTAAAATTTTTACTGATACTTCGCTTAACTTTATTTGTGAATGTAAGACTCACACTTGATAATTTTTACCAACAGACTTAAAGTTAATTTATTTATTGTTTCAGGTTGCCCCAGCTCCCACACACATAAACTTTCAAAATGGCTGTCAGCCAATTAAAATTCAAAACTTGTCTTGGTTTTAACTTATTTGTAATTTTCAACAGAAACTAATTTAGGCATTACTCAATCTGGGGGTGAACTCAAATTGGTGGGGTCAACCTCAAAAATATTGGGGGCAAAACATGGTATAAGGTTGGGGCAAACTCGATAGGGGGCAAATGCGGTGGATACCCCATGGTGATTCTGATAGTTGAGTCATGAAAATGCAGAGGGACTTTAGAAAATGTTTTGGCCAAGGCAGCTTTGGTAAAGCTCTTCACAATAATCAATCATCATTCATAACAAGACCCTATGTTACTGGAACACAAACCTGTATTGAAGTAAGAATTGCTGCCACATCATATGTAGGACTCCATCTGTTTTGAAGAATATCTAAGCAAATGCCTCCATCAGCATAAACTGAAAGATAAGTCATTGAAGAAAGTAGTTAATAACTTTCCCACTTTATTGTAATTAAAAATACATTGTTGATCATATATGTGCAGTCTGAGGCATGGATTGGACTTTCTCAGTTCAAGCAGTAATGTTGTGTTCTTACTGGCTGAAAGGGAAAATTGCATGTTATGTATTGGGAGTAGAAAGGTAGAAGGTAATAAATACCTCTAACCTAGTTCAAGGTCTATACTGTAAGTTATGGACTGAGTATTATCTGCTCAGATTTATGGTCCACGTGAGCAGTGTGCAGTCTATAGATTTCATCAGAAAAAGTTGTTCCATATCTCACAGTATGCATGAAGAAAATTAGGTAAGTTAGATATTCATTAATAATTTTTTCTCAGTTCATCAGCTGGCAGTATTCTACAAATCCTGCCATCTGATTAGTTCTGAGAGTGTGCAGTATTCTGCCATCCAGCCTGCTAAATTGTTCAGTTTATGGAGGATCTTCTTGTAATTAAAATCATAATTGTAGTCCAAAATCATTTGTGTCCTTTTGGCAAGCATTTTGTTAAGTGTTACAAAAATATAAAAGTGTTATTCACCAGCCTAGGTCAATCCATATTGGGAAAAACTGTGCCCTCTATCTTGAGTACCCTCTGAGGTTCTAGGCCGAGAGCAGTATCCAAAACCTCTGGCACAGTTTTTCCCAATACGGACCTCCCAGAAAGTGAATAATATATATGTCTCTGGGTTCAAATAGAGAGGGAAGATTTCAAATCAAACAAACTTCTCAATTCAGTGTGCCAAACAGCAAAATGTTATCAGTTAAATTAACCACGTGTAGAGCACATACTAAATGGTGAATGTGAACCCTCACTGGAGCCACTCTGACAGTGACTTCCACACTACTGTCGACAGTCCTTTTGAGCACTACTCTCACCAAAATGATCCACCTGAACTATTAAATGGGAATCACTGGGAGCTCTATTCACTTGTTAATGTGTGGCAATGATTGTTGTAGACTGACATTGACTAATTACATAAACTCACAACACACATGAAGAAATACTATGTCAGTTATCCATATTTACTGTAACATCTACTGGTAGATACATGTTGTTAAAGTGTGAAAAAGAGAGGCTAAGGTTTGTCATCGATGAGTTACATAACAAGAATGTCTTATCATTTTTCTTGCAATTTTAGAAATTCATGATGTAGATTGTGAGTCATTAGCACAAAAATGAAACTGCAATAGTACTTTTCTTCACAGTGCCATTTCCATCCCAACTTCATACATCAAAATAATATCGTCGATTGTCAAAGCTAAAATTGTTTTGATACTAGTTAACACATAGGTAGTGGTAGTAATGATGTATTAAAACTCTTTAGAGCCACCTTAAAGTTTATTTCAGAACACCAGCCTGTGTGGTCTATTACTTCACTTGGTGAAATTTATTTCAGTCGTAAAATTGTTAGTAAAAAAATACGATCCGTTTACAGTCTCAATATAAACGAAATGAAAGACCGCACGACCATCTTTAGAAGTGAGTCTAAGATAACTAGTGTTCAGACAAAAGCAACACTTACCGTTAGGATGAAACATTTTTGAAATAAATTTAACAGTAGGTGCTTTATTGGGGTATTCTTCGGTGAATTCCATGGTTAGTCTAAATGTTCCTGTGGCGAAAAACACGAGTCTTAGAAATATACTACAATTTCAAGACGTACAGACAAAATCGACGAAAAGACATTGAAGTTTCATCTTGTACAGGATTTAAAAATGGGAGGAAAGCAAAACAGTTGGATTGAAAACAAACCTCCTTCAAACGGAGTGTCGTCTGGTCTGGGTAAGAGACAAAAAGCAAAGCGTTAGAAAGAAAAACTTTCAGCCTGTCTCCGATGATAACTTTCCCTAGACATTCTGATCTCCACTTACCCGAAAATAACTGCATTCCACAACATTATATTGTTTTCTGTCGGAGCACCGGTAACTCCAGTAGGGGGGTCATCTTGAAGCCTAGGAAATGATGAAAGAGATGAACGCACATTGCAGGCATATACAGTCAACAAGAACATTCAACACGAAACCATCTTCACAACCAAATTTGCGACAGCAACTGGTCCGTGTGTAGAGACAAAGGTACTTAAAATAGCGAGGAAAGGTGCCTTACTTTTTAAAATCTCTCATTAGGCGTCTTCTAGCCGAAGTTGTCATGCTAGATTTTGGTTGAATAACAACACAAAATTCACTGACTTGTAGTTCACTGGCTCACTACAATTTGCGATCGAAGTATCGAGACCTGTGACGTCATCTACCGTGTCATCGTCTTATGATGCAATCTGCTGACCGGAATTGAAAGTGAAAAAAGTAAACCGAAAGTTGTCCTTATGAATAACTCGGCCTGAAAACAAGATTTGGTGTTAAGAGAGGACGATATCATGGCATGGTCTCTTTGTCATGACTTAGTTTTGAATGTCTTCCAAAGTTTAGTGCATTTTTTTTGCCATCTTTTCTTTCCCAGTAAGGAAGTTTTCGCTCCAGCACAGAGGACACTTTACCATCTCTTGCTTTTGAAAAACTGATAAACCTTTCTTCTTCTCGTCATTTGAATTTCCTAAAATAAAAGCGCATCATCACAGATCATTTGCAGAATATAAACATAAAAAAATATCATTCTTCTTTGGTATCATGTAATGATCTCAAATGAAAATATTTATTTCACGTGTTAAGATAATCATTTGAAAATTGGCTATGAAAGCCTACACAGAAAAACTTCCGGCAATATTTTCGGTTTCCATGAATTCAAGGGTTTCATCTGATTGTAGGATGCGATTTCTCTTCTTTTCTTAAATCGAAAACAGTTTTTAAAAAGTGGGAAATGAAGTCTCTTGAATTTGATTATTGATACACTTTTTAAAAGCTGATGAAGAACGAGAAAAAACATAAGAGTGGATTTTACCGGTGCAACTTACCAAGAAAGATCTATGTCTGTCAATTTACCGATGAAAGACGGGGGAATGAAAAGAAACTCTAAAAAACAGCACAACGAAAAGCAATTCATTTATCATTAAATTAAAAGCATTTCGGAAAGTATCTTAGCAACTACCAACTATTTTGTTTCTGTCCGTCTGCTTAATTTATTCTTGAGAAACTATCAAAGGGTCATTTTACCCTCAACAGACATAATCTGTCTGCAAAGAAGGGCTCTCTTCAGTATTTATTTGTCATTTTGAGAAACTTCGTGTATATAAGTTGTCTTCTGCATTTTGTCAAGGTTTAGCCCAAATTGAAGCATTAGCGTAATTATAAATTGATAGCAAGAAAAAAAAAAACCGAAGAGGAATTTCTTTTATTTTTTCTAATAATTCTAATGCGCAGAATATGAAAATGAGAGGAGCGAACGTTTTAAACTGCAGCTCGAAGGCGCGACACGAGTGCCAAAATACCCGTTAATGTGGTCATTTGCGTCTCCAAGCTGCATGTTTAAGTCACGTGACTACGTCTCGACAGGTGAAAGGTGTTTGAACAGTTGCTGTTTACACGCGGAGAATATTAACACAAATTTTCATTCAAAATAGCTTTTCTTGCCGTTCAAAGCAAAATGAAAGCGTTCAAGACGAGAAGCGAAACGGGGAATAGAAATGGAAATGATAGGAGCTATATGCGACGATTTCCTTCCGATTCTGACCTTTACAGGAAAGTCCTACAAAAAAAGGCTATGTCGCATGCAAATCTGCATAAAAGGTTCGCTTCTTGTACGCAGTTAAACAAGCTACCGTCGCCCCAGCACCATCAAAACTGCAAAGAATATAAATATGAAGAGAAGCTTACTAGCGAGCTTAACAGGTTTTATTCCCGTCGGGTCAGGCAGACAAGAGCTGAGGTCAAACGAAACAAACAACTGGCTTTTTCTCTCACGTTTAAAATGTTGATTAATGCTCAAGTCGTTAACGATCGCTTTACGGTCGGGGGAATTCTACGCAGTGGGGCAAGTTACGGCGACATGGTGGAGATAGAAAGTGATCGGTTTGAGTTTGGTGTCCCTGTGTACCTCGATGAAAATGCAAGCTTTTCCATCCATCGTGCCGAAGAAGATGGCTTTGTGAGACTGCAACTTGATGATTGCGAAACTTGGGAAGATTGTCTTGACGACGATGGATTTCTCTCGGCAAATCTGGTTCGGTCCAAGCTTCACTTAACAATGAAAAACACTTTGAAATCCCTAAAAAATAACATTGAAGAAGGAAGCGATGAGTATCCAAATGATGTCCAGGATGTGGATATTTTCTGCGAAGGTTCAACTATACTTCTACAAATAAAAGAGATAAGTGGATTCATAGTAGTAGAGTTGATCCCCACGATTGTGATATCACGGGAAAATTTGGAGTGGTGTCGGAGATTTTCCAAATCTGCGCCACCATCTTTCGTTGCCGGTAAAGCGTGTCCTTTGCCTTTGAGTGATCCGGAAACGCTTTGGCAATTGTCATTCTCTTCTGCCGAAAAGCAAAAATTCCGCACTTTGGGTACAACGAAATATCGTTTGTTTTTAACATTGGCTGAAATAAGAGGGCGTGATAAAACTCTGCGAGAGTTGTCGCTGTACCATTTACAAACCGTTCTGTTCCATATTGGGGATCTGATCAGTGATCCAATGAAATGGAGTAAGGATAAGATGGGGGAGCGTTTCTTGGATGTACTTCGCTGTTTGAAAAAATTTCTAGAAAATAAAAACTGTCCGCATTACTATATGCCGAATAACAATCTATTTGCAAGTGTTAATGCTGTCACTATTGCTACTCTCAAGGACAGGCTGAGGAAAATGGTAAAACCAACATGTGTAGCTTGTGGCGTGGCGACAATTTGTAACAGTGACTGAGGCCAGGGGATAGGAAATGGCCATTCGTGGTCACTCGCCTTCCCTCGTGGTCATTCGGGGCTGGGTCGTGGTCACTTACGGTCAGTCGTGGTCATTCGACGTCATTCGTGGCAGTTCGTAATTATTCGTGGTTACCCGTGGTCCCTTTTATGTGCGTATGCCCTTTTATATGCCCTTTTATTTGCTGTAGAGGCAATCCTATATATCATGTCTTGGCTTGTCTGAATAAGGTAACCAAGTCCTAGCTGTGAGAAGAATGGGGACAGAGGGAGTTGTTTAGGAAGAATATTACACTTTCGACTTTCGTATTCTTTGCGATGCTACCAATCGAGATTCTCGTAAGCGGTTGTTTCCAACTTAACAGTGAAAGGATATTTCTTGTGAGGTGTGAAGCCATTTTTCAAACTGGTAAGTAAATTGCTGTGAACTTTGGCTTCTTAAAGATAGCGAACTGTGGGCATGTAAACTAAAAATATAGTGACAATTCAGTAAGGATTTCAGACCGTGTTTTGACTTCGAATCCCATCTCGGTTTAGTCGTTTAGAGTTTGAACAAAGTCATAGCTTTATAATTAAGCATAGTTTTAATTCAGTCGTGTCAGTGTGTCCGACACATACAGAGCCGTTGTAACACAAATATTTGCTCCTCTCTAGTTTTTATTCTGTAAGATTAACGCATGATATTCATCATATATGGCTTCGTTTTAGCGTCAAAATATGAAACTTTTGATCGACCATTTATGTTCCTAATTAGTAATATAGCCGAAGGATTTTGTACCATGCTTAAGTGTCTCCTGCTTTTATTTCGTTGCCTTGTTTGTGGTTTGATGTTAAGAGAATAGAAGGTGAATCACACAGCTAGTCACAAGTAATAAATCTATTCTGTTGAAATTGAATTGATGGAAAGTCTAATATATACTGTTTTGGCTCTCTATTTCCGCGCTCACTTTCGGTAATATTAAGGGACTTTCCCCAGGAATCTTACACTTTTATGAAATGTTCGATCAGTGACCTTATCCTAACTTTTGTCGGCCGGAAATAATGGAAATTTATGTGAATTTGATAATATACTCAAGAAATATAGTAGCCAACTCTGGAAATCTTTGCTCTTCTTTCACGAGGGGAATAAGTCATAACGCGTTTAGAATTGAGATGATTTGTTGTTGACCTACGGTAATGATTTATGTTCCCTGCAGAAGGAAATAAGCTTCAAATTGTTTAAGCTACGCCGAAAATGTCGGTAAAACTTATTAATTCTCTGCTGATATCACGAGAAATGGGTGGTGCATTTTAAATCCAAAATTTGTTGCTCAGTAAACTTAATATTTCGTGACATTGCAATGAAGTATTGTTCGGACTTAAATCGACGCTGAGGACTACGGGAAATTGTTCATGTAACAAAGAGAGCGGTTGTACTTTTTGTTTTGTTTTCTCTTATTTGGTTTTGTTTATCTCTAATTGTGCAGAGACAGTAAATACCGAGTGTAAGCTAGAATGCCAAGAGCCTAGTAGCCTCACCAGCCGTGCTTTAGGATTTACGCATTGCTCCTTTAGCTGAGCAGGGGCGTTGCGTGACATTCCAAATACGAGCTGCCCGCCATTCGCCCTTGCTCTGGCGAATGACCAACGCTCGAAACGTTGGCAGGATTGGTTATTTCCAGGTCCTCCTAAGATCTTCAAAAGCTTCGCCCCGAAGGGAAAGAGAAAGAAGCAACAAAATTAAATTTATCGTAGAGATACTTAAAGTTCGTTGGAAAATTTTCAATAGTTAAAGTATTTAAGGTTGTCTCTCCCGGATTGATTGGTAGTGTTTCGTTTTAGAGCTTTCTTTGGACGTCATCAAAACTTCCTTTTCTTTTCAGATACAAGCCTTAGTAAACTGAATATGCTTTGGATAGACTGACATGATGTAAACAAGATTATGGGTTGTTAGCTGAATATATGCGCCGAATTCCTTGCTATGGTATTTACTCCTGAGCAACTGAACTTTTTTAAGTTCTCTTCTGTTGTACTGGATGAGTTTCCAGTCGCTCTTCGCCAAGTCTTTATCTACATGTGGGACACTCTAGTCGCTTCTCCACCTGGTGCCCCAAAATGGGACGACAGTGTGACGGTTCTCAACAATTTCCTCGCAAGAGAAGGTGGTGCAAAGAAAGTACCAATGCTAAGCAAATCCTCTAAGGAATGGGGCTGCACAGCTCTGTTTAACGCTACTCTGTTTGCGCAAACCTTTGCGTTACCAGACGGGACTGGTGGTATGAGCACTTTGGGTAAACTTTACGTCAAACCCCGTGCATTGCCTCCTGGTGCATTTCATTCATCTGTTATCAGCCCCTCTGGAGACTCGGCAGAGACTTACGCTTTAGCACTGGACCAGCTGCGCTTGCTACGAAATGCTCTCTGCCATCCAATGAACACTAAAGTAATGGATAAGGTAACTTTTGATCGCCACATTGCTTTTGCGAAAGAGGCATTCACTGCACTTGGTCAAAGTACCACAAAAATCGATGAAATTGGAAATTTAGGCGAAGAAGACTTCCCTACTTCAAAAACCCAACAATTGGAAGACAAATTGAACAGAGAAAAAGCTGCTCAAATTTAAGCAGATCGACGATCATCTCAACAAAATCGAGTCACAAGTAAAAGATTTGACTACTGGAGTTTTGGAAGTCCAAACACGAGTGGAAGATGTCGGGTTAGACGTAAAAGATTTAGGGACAGAAATGTCAGACGTCAGAAAAGGATTGGAAGATTTCACATTAGTTGTAAAGACCACATTGGACAGTGTCGGCTCAGAAATGAAACATGTGAAGACACGAGTAGAAGCGGTCCAGTTGGATGTCAAAAACCTGCACACCCCTCTTGGAGATATCTTGAAAGATGCGAAGACTGAAGTAACAGATGTAATAACACGAGTGGAAGATGTATGGTCAGAAGTGAAAGATGTGAAGACAGGTATCAAAGCACAAACTGCAGAAGTAGGATCACTTGCTTCACATATGATGGAACTAAAAGCGAATGTTCCTTTCATGAAAGACGTTTTACAAGCAGAAAAGTCAACAGGTAGGCTAAATTAAACAGCGCTAGCGTTTCTGTTAAATCTATCCTTCAGTGGTCTTGCCAGGCAGGCCGGCTTCCACTAAGACTTGGATTAAAAATACTGACGTCAAAGCAGACTGTCCACTGGTAAAGCAAACCTACGGAACAAGTAGCAAATTATGCTTTCCTGGCCGCCAGAAAGGAAACCTTTAATTTGCGGATAATTTTTCGTAGTATCACTGTATCAATATTCTTAAACGATAGTTTTTACTCATGCGTACTAATTGATCACATCCTTTACCTAACAGCCATTTGAACCACGACATAATTAGTTTCGCCGAGGATGTCGAATTGCCTATTCTCGTGAGTGGCCACCAGATGTCAGCTATGTTAATTTACGAGTTTCTCTTTATTTAAGGTCCACCATTTCCTGAGTCCTGTATCCCTTATAAAATCCCACACTTTGTTGGTCGCAAAGAAGAGTGCCAAAACATTTTAGATCAGTTGACAAATGGATCCACTCGACTGGTTGATGTTTGTGGTCCACCGGGATTTGGAAAGACCTCCGTGGCCATTCAGGTGGCACATGAGTTGCGAGAGAGAAAGATTCCGGTGTACTTTATATCCCTTCACGGCTTAAAAACCAGGGATGATTTAGTCTCAAATCTACTTGGAATACTTGTCGATGCCAAGCAGGCATTTTATGTATCACCCTCTGACTGGCTCATGCAATGTTTACAGAAATGGCAGTCACCTTTTGTCCTTATTCTAGACAATGCTGACGATCTACTTGAATCTGGAGATACCCAAGTGAGAGAAGATGTCCTTAGGTTTATCGAAGAGCTCCAAGCCAAATGTAAGCACATAAAACTTCTCGTCACTACCCCTGAATCCCTCGAAGATTTAAGTCATAAGCTCCCCATTCATCCGGAGAGAGTTGGTGTTCTGGATGAAGCCTCTTCTGATGAATTGGTGAGGACCCTGCTATCGAAGGTCTCTGAAAGCGACTGTAATTGCATATTGAAGAAGTGTGGATGTGTACCCCTGGCCATGAGATTGATGTGTAGCATCATTACAGAACAAAATGTTTCGGTTGGTGAACTTTTAGAAGAACTAAATGATTCGCCTCTAGTTGAAGTTTTAGATAATGAAAGTTTGACCAATGATGCGCGTCTGAAGACCATAATAAACACATCTTTTCAAAGACTTACAACCCTCGAAAGACATGCCTTTGTCGCCATCGCGGTATTTCCAGGTTGTTTTAGCAAGGATGAAGCTAGAGCTGTGTTGAATTCGAAAACTGTCGTTCAGGCAGGGAAAATTCTTCGATCGCTGAAACGAAAATCTTTACTAGACTGCAGCGACGATTTTGAGAACTTCACAATCCATTCTCTCCTACGATCCTTCGTCGAGCAACGTAGAATAGCGGAAGATGAAATTAAAAAACATTTCGCCGCAGCGCAACTTCGTTTTTACGATTATCACATTTCTAACTTCAGAGAGGCTAACGAAAAGTTTTTAACCGGTTCTTCAAATGAAGCATTTGAAGCCTTCCACAGCCAGCGGGAGAACATCCAGCTAGCTATTGTAAACGGAAGTAAAAATGACGATCTTTATTCTAAAGTCGTCGAGGCATTGTCGAAAGCCGAGTTATTTGTCTATGCTGTACTACCCTGTCAAGAGCCACTACTCGATATCTACTCCACCTCAATAGAGGAAGCAAAGAAAAGACAACGTCGAGACGATGAATGCAAGTTACTTGCTGCCAAGTCCTTCAGCCTCTTGGGTGGGTTTTACTCGCGCCCTCGGAGTTGGGATCATTCCTTAAAAGGTGGTAATGAAAATGCCGAAAATCCTCCCGCAAAGTATTTGGTTTACCTTGGCATTCATCAACTGCTATCCCGAAATATTGAAGACGGCATATCGTCCCTCAGAGCGTCTGCGGATCGTCTTGGTAGTGACAATGACGAAAGAATTCTCAAAATCCTTGCCTGTCATGTACTTGCTGTTTGTTACAGAAAAAAGATGGACAAGGAAAAGGCGTCTAAATTTGAAACCTTATGTGTCAAAGAATGTGAATTGTCTTCATGTTGTCCTGCATTTCTTGATCTTTTTTTACCAAACAATGACAACGATGCAACCAGTGTCATCGAAAAAGATGTATTCGTTTTCGCTGTTATGGCCGAGCTGTTACCGTTACTTTACAATAGACTCGAATTTGACCAGCAGACGGTAACTGAACTGTCCTTTATGACCCGTCACTTCAAAAGATTTCAGAATGTCATACTTAAGTTATTTGATGAAGGAATTCTCTGTACCAGGGTGCTTGAGGCTTGCTGCAATGCATTATTTAATTTAAAGTGTTACAGGGAAGCTGCTGAAGGCTTTCAAAGGATAACAGACAAACTAGAAGCCCTCGAAAGCAGGAGCAAAAGTGCAAGTGAAACTTACTTTGTCCATGGCTCAGCGCTCGAACAACTGAAGAACTTCAAGGAGGCTTTCCACTATTACGAGAAATCGGTAGCCATCAAAATGGAACTTTTGAATCGACCTGAAGGAACACACGACATCGAAGAAATTGATGATTTTGTTTCGACACTCTTGAGTTGTCTCAAAACCCAATATCTTTGCAACGCTACCGCTGTTGGTCATCCTGACAGTCTCAAAGCCACCTTTGAAGAGCTGAAAACTGTTGTACAGTCTGAGTCACTGAATGTTTCCAGTAAAAATCACGATGAGATTTCTAATCGTTGCAAGATGTTCGCAGACTGTCAGTTTTGGATGAAGGACTTCGCTGGGGCACTCGAGTCATATCAGCAGGCGATAGCCATAACAGAAGAGCATGACAGTGATCAAGTCAAATTAGCAGCGTGTCTTTTTAGTAAAGGAACTACGCATTTCGAAATGGAAAACTACACTGAAGCTATCAAAGCATGTCAAAGTGCTTTGAATTTGGGAATTTTGGACGGCCAAGATACAGCTAATATCTACCATAAACTTGGATTGAGTTACTGTGCGCTTAATGACTTTAGCAAATCTCTAGAAGGACATCAACAAGCCTTAAAGCTCATGAAGACACATTTAGGTGACCACGATCTGACAGCTTCGAGTCTCAAGGAAATTGGAGTTGTGTACTTCAGAATGGGACGTTATGATGCTGCTGAAGAGAAACTTCAAAATGCTGCCGACCTTATGACAGAAATATCCAAAACAGAACATGAAGAAACCGCCAATGCGCTGTTTTACCTCGGCGAAGTATATTTGGCACTGGGAAAGCACAAGGAAGCTTGTGACTCTGGTAAAGAGGCTCTGAAAATTAGACTGAGATTACTGGGTGAGCACATAGATACAGCTGTAAGCTTTCACTCTTTGGGATCTATCTATTTCGAGATGAATGATGTCAGAAGAGCTGTTTCGTGCTTTCAGAGAGCATCGGAGCTCAAACAAAAGCTTCTTGGAGAACATTTAGAGACAGCACGGAGCCATCACTGCCTTGGTGAGGCGCAGATGCTCCAGGGTAATACTGTGGATGCTATAGGTTCCCTGCGCACTGCCTTGAGTATCAGAGAGAAGAATTTCGGATCCCATTCTGACACGGCTGCGACTTTAGAACTGCTAGGGCGCGCTTTTAGAGCCGAGGGACAATCTGATTCAGCTTGCTTTTGTACCAGACGCGCACTTGAAATGAAGAGGCAGCGACAAGCAGAGCAGAAAAGTCACACGAATGATAATTGCACTATCATGTAAAAGTATTCTCTGGAGTATTATTTCAAGGTGCAAACTGGTATGCTATTCTTCCCTTTTGATAATTTTATCCCTAACCGGTCACAGTAAAAGTTCTTTATAATTTTCATGTTTGTGAAAAGTTAAGAAATTTAGAACTTATATCATGTGAGCTGACAGAAGTAACGAACGAAAATTGAAAAGTGTTACGATTTTTTCGAGGAGAAGTGATTGAGAACACTTATAATGCTTATTGATTTAAGGTAATTCCTCAGTATTGCAGTGCACATCCTGAACTGCGCATAGAAATCTAATACTCATTCGAATAAGTCCGCGCGCATTCCGTGAACACGGTAATGTTTTTCAATAAATGGACCATTGGAAGAAAAGTGATACAGCGGTCTTTAGCTCTTAAATGAGCACAGTGACCTATATCTTTTATTGCACAGTTTTGATGTACAAATTATCCTCGTAAAGTATGAGAAATTAAAAACAAATTCATCTAAAAATATATATATAGCTAAAAGTGTGCACGAAGCCCGTTAATCGACGATGCAAATTATTACCTTAAAAGCGGTGACTTCAGTTAAGGAACGTTTTGAGTCGATGTCGTCTAAAATTTCGGGATTTTTCTACAAATTTTGCATCTGATATCGATTTTCTAAAGTAAATTCCACCTATTAGTTTGACTCACATAATGAAGGATTTCATCTCATACCTCATTCATAAAACTTGTTTAGTTAAACCGGGTTTATCTGAATTAATAATATACATGAAAACATTTCTCAGTTCTGATTGGTTAAGATGAATGCAGTTTTCAATTAATTCAGTGCAGAAGAGGGTTAATTCAGTGCACAGAAAGAAACAAACCAGACATTCTGATTGGTCAGAATGATTAGTCAATGGCAATGTAAAGGTCAATGTAAAGGTCAATGTAAAGGTCAATGTAAAGGTCAATGTAAAGGTCAATGTCAAGGTCAATGTCAAGGTCGATGTCACTTGCAGGGTTTGAATAAATTATTTTTGCACGTGATGCGCGCGCTTTTCTTCTGCGTAGTTATGAGAAGCTACCTCGTATTTTTCATGTATATTATTAATAGATAATCACATGATTTCTCGTGCAATTTGGAATAAATAAGCACTTGTAAATTTTTTCAAAGACCACAAATTGCACTCGCCCTACGGGCTCATGCAATTTTGTTTGTCTTTGAAAAAATTTACTCGTGCTTATTTATTCCAAATTGCACTCGAAATCATGTGATTACCTTTACGAAACTCAGGAACAGAAAAACTGAATTTTCCACAGGTTTCAAAAAGTAACTAATTTGCATTTTGCATGTGCACAAAAGAAACTTAAATCGTGTTTAATAAAATAGCTTTTAAATATAGTTAAGCTTTAGTGTGAATGAGGTATTAAAGAAAAATGTTTTCCCCTCAGAGACATCAAGCGAAACTCTAAACCCTCCGCACACCGTGACATATCGCCGCTTGGAGATTTTCGATTGGATACTGTTTTGTTGTGTGCCTCTCCTGAAAAATGAATAGAAGCGAATAGAAATTAACAAAGTCACAAGCTTTCCTTATTTAGCTCGACCGTCCTTCAGCTTGTTCGCGATCGCGACGTTCAGTTTCTTAACAGTACCAAGCAACCTCTCTACGTTATCAGATATAGCATCGCGCGTGCGTTAGTTTGGTTAGAAATGTTTTTTAAAGCTATTCTTGATGATAAACTAGTGAGCGACACTTTGCGAATTATAACGATAAAAACTTTTCTTTAGTCTCCCACCGGTATGATGCTTACTAGGAAAAAATCGCGCTGCTGTGACGCACCTGTGTACAGATTACGGCACTACCTTTCAAGGGTAGATGCAAGAAGCAGCCGAAAATTCTTTCGGCGCAATCACAACATCGATTGGCGTTCACAATGCGACATAATTTCTGACATGACTAGGCATAAAATGAATACTACTGATTACGGAACTGCCCTGCAACCATTAACAAGAATACTAAGCCAGCCACAAATTGATCAATTTAGCATTTCAGCAGACATTGTCTTACAGAAGAACGAAGCTAACCACAACGCAATGTCGCACCTGAAAAACAATAGCTGATACTTCAATTTTGAAATCATCATTCACTTGTTTACAACAGTATTTAGACAGGGCAACTGTGAGTAATATATAGGAATGTTTCGATCACGGTACATATCGGTGACCGATAAATTCAGTTGTGAAATAAACTTTTGGCTCCACAATTCAGCGGGTTCGTCTATTGTAATAAAAGTTGCACTTTTTTACCGTAGCAACTGACATTTTGTCCAATCCATACGATATGTCAGCATAAGATAATGCCTGCTAGATATAAAGAAATCCCATACGATAACTTCAAGTCAGATTGATCATTGCTGTTGTTTTAAAGATTAAAGATAGCACAATCGGTTCCACTGGCATAGGGCACTCAGTATGCTCGAGATCTTCTTTTACCCTCTCCCTCTCCCTGTCACGTGATCCTATTGCGTAATTTTAATTTCCTCATCATTAGGCCTCATCAACCACATGCGGCTCAAGCGTACTGTGTGTGATTTTGGGGTCTAAAGGTCATTAACGGGAATACCTAAAATAAGCAACAGTGTATACACACTTTGATAATAGCACAACACGCACTACACAGAAAGTCGCCAAAGCAGCTCTCCATAGCTCTTCACACGTACGAGATACGTGAACGTGGTTGCTGGTTGCGCGTGTCGTGGCATTTTACACTCAGTCATAAACTTCCTTCCATTCTCAATATTTTAGCACCATTCAGTCTTAGAAAGCATGAAGGAAATCAAATCTAACGAGGGAATTTTAGAAGGGCCCTGCTCCCTCACACAGGGACATGTTCGAGGTGCTGCCAACAGAGTTAGCAGAAATAAACAATTGATAATTAAAATTCAGTTACCCGCACAAATATTCGACAAAAAAACTACTACTTAAGCTTTGTTTCTGCCTCACGCCTTCCCTCATGGAAAGAAGCTGATCTCATTATCAGCCTATAATTCCCAGAAGTGAAAAACATTTGACTTATCAAAAAACATACATATAATTTTTAAATGTTGCATGGACACAATGATCAATAATATATAAAATTATGTTGTCTTTTTTTTTTCTTTTTTTTTTTTCTAACCATTTTCACTGCATTACCGCAGTAGGGTAGGACTAGAACGGAACATATGCGAACCATGCGAGTAGTCCACCCAATAAATCCCACCCATCCAACCCAGGGGAGGACATCCATCACACAGTAATCTCGTGCGTGGGAAATAAACGTCTCCTACCCCTAGCCCTGTAGGAGACGGGACCTCCATTTGTTCGTCCCTATCCGAGAAGACTAGAATATCTAACCATTTCTTGATGTTTGAGAAATGTAGCATATTATTCTCAACTATTTTAAGACCTCGAGTGTTGGTCCGGCCGGGGCTTGAACCCTCGACCTCCCACACAACAGTCCAGTTCCATATCCGTTGAGCGAACCGGGAGGCGGTTAGCCGGTCTGCATCTTATAGCAGATGCAGATGTACATTTGAACTTAAAGTCTTTAAAATAATCTTCAGAACTGACTCGCTTCCTAAGCTGATTAAAATTGAGGGACGCCGATGCTTCCTTATCATTGTAGTTAACAAAGTTCCATAACGAAGCTGCTCTATATGAGAGAGAGTGTTTCATATGTCTTGACTCATACCTTGGTGCGAGAAGACGATTCTGGTCTCGAGTGAAGTAAGTGCCAACTCGTTTTCGGCCAATATTCTCATACAATTTATGTAACGAAGAATTGTTCGTACATGTATAGGTGGAAGACTTAAAAGTGTTAGATTGTCTTTGTTTGACAGGATGGGTGATATTTCTGTACGGTAAACGAGAAAGAACGGAGAGGAAATTCTGAATTGTGACTTTTCTATAGCTGTTCTTCACCCTGGACGGTAAGTTCTGATGCATCTAGTCTTTTTATCCTAGAGGTCTTGTCTTCCCCTCTGAAAGTACGCGTAAGTTGAAAAATTTTCGGTCTTTTGCTGTTGAAATTTTGGTGTCATTCTGTGAGACGTGTCTATCGAGAGCAGCTATGATTACTTATGTTGATTTGGCAAACGATAGCAGTTCGTGAGCAGGTGGTATTCTACAAATCCTGCGATCTGATTGGTTCCAATAGCTGCCAATATTTTTCCTTCCGGCCCGTTTTGTGTTAAGTCGCCTTGCAGAATATTTTTAGCTTTGTTGCAATATATCTTGTTTTTGCCGGCTAGGCAGCACTTTTAAGCAAATACTTCGGTCACGACCTTTAGCTGATGAATAACCACATAATTCTTTCTTCTCTCTCTGCCAAATTACTCTGGTTTTTCCGCAAAAAAATGATTTCGAAATAAATTTAAACTGTTAGTTTTTTTAAAAAGATTGACACAGCCTGAAATCATTTGTAATTTGATAATCCCACAGGGGGCCCATACAATCTGTTTGTGTAGTAAATGTATCAGATTTACCGTTTGCCTCACCTCTAGCGATATATTGCTGACCATGTAAATGAATCAAAGATAAATAAACGTTGAATTACCTTACCTGTGGTGTATAGTCGTCCTTTTGCTTCAAAAAATGATTTTTTAGCGATTTTGAATAAGTTTGAGTTCGTCGTTGATTGTCACTTATTGTAGAAGGACAAGGGTGGAAACCTTGTTTTGAAAGGGTTCCAGCGCACGAGCGATTTTTCCCCCGAAAATCGCATTGCTCCGCTTTCAAACTTCGCAGCATTAAGGCCAAAAGAACTTTCCGTGTAAGACTCCTGTCCAAATATACCTCAATGTTCTCATTGCGTCAGAGTTTTTCATGGATGGTTATGTTGGTGAAACCTTAAAGTTGAAACAAATCTACGAAGGTAAATTTTTCTTGGCGAAAGGTGAGGACTCGCGCTTACCTCTACGCACATGAAAACTGAAAAAAAAAACTTTTTTTGTTCACTATCAAGTTATTGACTTTAAGTAGAATTTTAGAAACAACTGCGAAAGTGTGGAAAAAAGTCTCAATTTTCCTTTTTATTAGGGAATTTGACATGAATACAATGTGGCCACCAATTTCCTGCTAATACCGTTGCTGTATCATTTATTGACAAAAGTGTTGTTGCACCTTTTCCCGGGTATGGCCGCCATTCCAACCTTTATCGTAAAAAGATAGGTAGAAGAGGATCAAGTCAATAGACTCAAATACGATCTTATTCCCGTGGTTATCTCCCTTCGATGATTTTCGGACTTCCAACATCTGGTCTCCTGAGAATTATACGACAAATGCCATGTCCATTGATACTATGTTCACGCGAATAAAATCTGCGACACAGGATTGGTTCTTTCCAGGTCTTCCTGAGATCTCAGGAAACTGCATTGAAGGGAAAGTAGTAACGAAATGACATCATCTTAAATTCCATGGAAATATTAAGTTTTAAGGCATTCAGACTGATTGTTCAGGAAAGATTATCTCAAGAAAATGGTGAGAAAACACAAGGTTAGCAAAATGTTCCTGGATACTCGTGGAAAAGCATGAAAAAGAGTATGTTCTTTTCCCTAATTCTCTCATTGAATGAGGATAGTCCTGAAAAGAGGGTCTCATTAGGGTGGTTGAAATTTTGGCCAATTTTCGGCCAAAGTGTGTCATCTCTCCATTGATGCCAACAAAAAAGTTTTGAGGGTTAATCTTTTGTTACGACTGACGAATAAAATTGGTAAATTTTTATGACCAACGGTTACATTTGTTGTCATTTGTTGG